CAGCTACTAGCTCCCTTCCTTACGCTTCTTGCTTGTGAGCGACTTTGACTCCGCGGAGCTCTTTGATATATAAACTCCCCCACCTCCTCATCCTTGTTCCCCGGGGGTCTCACTAGAAGTTATCCTCAGTTTCGCAAGTAAATCGCTTCGAAGGTTCCTCACCGTATTATCAGTCGACTGAAGTATCAGAACATTCAATAGTTTAAGAATGTATCAGCCGAGCTCTGAGCGTCAGGCGGTAAACTGGCGCTCAAAAATTGTGCCTTCAATGTCTAGTGCTTCGAGAACTATTCCGCAGGCTTTTCGGAAGAATATGCATTCCACGTATTGGAAGAGAGGACCGCTTGCGTGAAAAAACGAAGCTGTGCACCCTTCGCGGGGAAGTTGGTGACTACCAGGTGGTACCCGCTCGCTTCTCAGCTCCCTTGTCTTCCCTAATCTGTCCTCCCTGTGTTGACCGAAGGCCCAAGTTAGAGAGCGCCGCTACGGCAAGGCGCTACATCAGTGAGCACGATAGGGAGGACGAGTAGGCGAACATGAATCCCAGAAATCAACCACTTTGCCCTTGACCACTGGACTCGCTCCTTCTGCCCCCTTCCCGAATCTGATTTGGAAGAGATGAATAGATCGTGCTCCGACCTATATTTTTCAATATCCGGGGGCGCGGAGCCGCTGCTCCCTCGTCTTAATTGAGGGGTCCCCACTGCAGTCTCAGCCGTCTCATATGGAGAAAGTTTCGGGAAACATTGCTATAACGATTAATCATCAAGTCGAACCTTGGCTGCAGAAGCGAGTATCCTGCGAAGACTGCTCAGGAAGCTTGGCGTGAGCGCTTGATTCTCGGGATCGAGGGTATGGAGAATATGGGGAGCGGTTCAATTCAGTCGAAACCTCGTAGCGAAGCTATCACAGATTTCGGAACGATTTTATCAATCAGTCGAGCCATGGATACGGTAGACGCTCTCGCAGGCTATCGAAGTGCGAATGGAAACATTCCGAGACATATAAGTAATCCGACAGGCAACTCCCCTTACACAGAACCTCCACCGCAGCGCGGTGCTGATTGAGCTTGGCAGAAATGTAGACTAATGCTTATCTTTCATGCCCCAAGCTGATATGAGGCGGGTAGGAGTTGCGTCACACACCTTCCGGGAGCTGACAGTTTCGGGAGACCCCGCAGCATCGACCCGATACTCAATGGAAGGAGCCGCTCCATCCCTTGCGTTATTTCCATTCGAGTAGCGCAGTGAACGGCGCTATATACCACAAGATGATTTCCTTGGTCCCTCCTGGCATGCGACACATCAAGGTCAGAAAGTTGAGTCTGAGTCAATGAGTATGATATTGCTGCCAGTCCGTCCGTCGGTCCGCCTACTAGTCAAACCGCATCCATGTCGAGGGGCGCCGCATATGTATATCACTGAGGGACTCCACAGTTTATTCTCGGATTCACCCAGGGAGATTTGGCTGGCCAGCAGATGTAGTACTTTGTTGAAATTGAGTATTCCTTTTCACCCCCGATCGGGGGGAACGGAATCATAAGGACCGGGAGCAGATTCCGGACCTCTGACACATTGGATTTGACTCGTCTGATCTCCTCTATAACACTCCGCCTTTGCGATTCCCTCTAACTGTTAAGCATCAGAATATCCCGCGGAGTGAACGGAGTCAGCTGGATTCTCACGGTAGGATTCCCCTCTCCGAAGATATTCGGTCCCCAGACCTGAATGCCCAGACCCGCTGGGAATTGAACCGGAGTTATCATCCTTGTATCATTATACACATGTGTCGGCTTTGAGAGAGGGCATGGGGCATGTATGATAGTATGACTTCATTGGTTCATTGGTCTCCCTACGAAGCGGGAATCGTCACTGCGAGTCTCATCGGGATCCCTCGCCACTCTCGATTGTGCCCTCGCTCTGCGGTCGGCAGCGACTGTGTCTCCTCAAGTGCAACAACGTGTGCCGAGAGCAAACTCACCGCCTATCCACCGGACGAGCATTATTGTCTCGTAGCTCTGAGCAAAATGATCTTTGAGGCCATCTAATCAGGCGCGCCCTTCCGTATCGAACCCATACCGACGAATAAATACGGCGCGGCGCGAGGCGGTCGGAGCTTTCCCGCTTTGCTTCCTAGTCAGCGATTCACGTTCCGTGTTCGATAAGGGCTGGTTCTGAGGTGTGTACCTCTCGACGGCATCCGAAGGACCACCGTGAAAATCCGACTGGCTGATCGAATCCCACTGACTGCACAAACATTAGATAGTCCCCGAAATATCATGCGACTGTTCTATTCACTTGATTTGGGAGGGCGTTCCTGCTTGGAGGCCACCGACATTCAAGAATCAAGGCGCATTTATCCGATTCGACGGCGCAAGTCGCAAGTACAGACCAATCACAATCCGAGCGAGAGGTGCAATCGGAGGACTTCAACTTGGATGCGTCCGATTGGGTGTATCATATCACGAAGTCACATTCGAGATTCTCATCAGCTGCTGGGGTCTTCTCTTCCGCTTTAGAGCGCCTTCGCAAGAACCATAGAACTCCCCCCTCGCAGGAACGCAGATCTAATCAGATATCGACAATCGCTTCGCTCACCACGAAAATGAGAACATCCCTGGTCTTTCCGGACTGAGTTTCATAGGCCCTGAAATACCGAGCAGGTTCGTTTTTCTACTTGGGGGTCTGTCAGCGAATACCGGCCGACACCGGCAATCAGACTGAAGACCGTGTTTCTGAATTCTTCCTCAGCTCGGTATTCTAACTCATCTGGTGCTCAGCCCGAGAGGTCATCGATCCTTTCCATACCTCGTGATTGGGTGACATGGGGATGGATCACGTCGGGATCTGATCTGCATTTCACCAAGAACGGAGGTCTTCTTGAGAGATGGCTGAGTCTTCCTTGGCGCTTTCCGATGTGTAATCGGAAAATGGCTGAATCCGCTGAGCATCGGTCGGTCGGTTGCTTAGGATTATTTCTCTCTTTGGGCTGATCGAGCGGGGATATTGAGGCACCTGAAATGGTCACATGGATCGCCCGAGGAACGGCCCTGCGAATCTGCGACCAAAATTCCTCTCGCAGAAGAATGCTGACGAAGCGCTTCAGGAATCGCGATAAGGGGGAGGATTCCGGCTGCCCGAATGATAGATTTCTTTCTCGAAATGAGCAGCTCTCCGCTCTTCAGAGGAAGGGAAGTTCCATTTCCCTTCAAGCCCCGGATTGCAAGCACTCCGAATCTGGTTTAGAGCCGCAAGAGCGGCGCCAAAGTATAATTCAGGCACGTGGGGGATGATCTGGAGTCAGAGGAGTGTTTCATCCCTCTGTATCCCCCTGCTTAACGCTCACAAGCGCCATCTGCTCCGTGCAGAGAGGACCCGAAGCGGTGTGGAAGATCTCTTGCTGCGTACAGCTATGCTGACGGTACCTGCGAGCGGCGTGGCGCCACTGCCGAAATCAGCACCGTGCCTGACAGAATCGGTGCACAGTAATTGATCACGATCGTCCCTTGGTTTGTAGATTCGTTCATTTGCTCATCTGCTCATGCGTGAATTCATTCAGTCATCCTGACTCTTACCTCGGTCCCTGCATCGATTGATCAGTCGTTCCCGTCCCTTCTGCTGGGAGATTTGTTCATGCCGTAGGACTCGAACACTCGCGACGCTGGATTTTTCGTCGACGATCTCAGCGTCGAATTGGGGAAACTGAGAGCTCTTTCGCCAAAGTTCGAGTTCGGAATGACGGGAGGACTTTTTCTTTCCGCGCTCAGAGAGATGATCGAGAGATAAAGCGCGGAATCGCACGTCTCTGTATCTGGTTTTGAAGCGCTGTCAGGTGCTCGTTCGGAAGAGCATGGACGAGCCAGGCGAAAAAGTCGGGAAGACTTCCTCCTATTCAGTGAGCGTTCAGGGGGTTCTGCTCGAAGCTTCTATTCTTGTTCTTGTTCCTCCTTGATGACATCTTGCGGCTTTTTCTGCGTACAAGCGTCGTACGGTTATATTCTTAGAATCAGGCGGTGACGTACGGTCTCCACATTGGTTTACAAGGACTCTCCGAGGAAGCTCGTTCTTCCTTTCGGTGGTGCTTGCGTCCCTTTCTCACATCCATCCCTCCTGAGCAGAGTTGTTTGAATAAACCTTGTTTATTGATTGTGCTGAGCTTTCCGGATGACAAGGACTCACTCGCTGACAAGTGAGCCATCAGACGACGGGATCTGAATAGAAGCAAGCGAAGTCGAATGTCTGTTTTTTTCCTTCGTTCGGAATTTACTGCAGTTTCCCCCCACCGGCGCGGCGCCCCTCGCGTTCGAGTGAGACCCTCAATGATTCATTGTAGCGGGCCATCAATGTTAATTCGCCGGGAATGCGTAGGTCATTGCGGGATTCCTCCCCGGCAGCACAATCAATTCTCGCAGGTCTAGATATTTCTTATGGGAGCGTTTTTTTGTTTCGCTTCGTGAACTAAGTCACCATACATCGCAAACCAATGCCGATAACTATTAGAATCCGAAGACATGGCGGGAGAACATTCGCTCTCGATTTGCTGGCGCGACGGTCGTCGTACCACATCGAAGCTCTCATTTCTCGCAGAGGAACTCTGAAGCAGAACACAATGAGACGGTGGCCAGATACACGAAGTCGGATAAGAGGAAGCTCTAGAAGGTGAATCTTCCTCGGGAACCGGGGCAAATTACGCGGGAGTTGAGACGGCAAACCACATGTCGCCCAGTTCAAGGAATTCTCGTGAGACGATACGGCTCGTGATGAATTCGCCACAAGAAAATTGCGGGTCATTATCGGAGCGAGTCAAAAGCTGTGATCACAACAAGACGCGGCCTAAGCCACCGTATTTTTCCGCAGAAGAGTCCACGCCGTCTGAATCATTCACCTCTTGGTGTATTTTATTTGCGCGTCAAGTCTACTCTCGTACAGACAAGGCCGAGTGTTGATGAATGTGATCAGAGAAGAGGACGAATTTTTTCGGTTGGATTCGATGTCACGGACTTAGAAGTCGAAAACGTCACCGTCTTCGTCGTCGATCTCCGCCTGGGTTGACCTCGGTCTTTGCGTAATGGCGGGGGCGGCTGCGGTCGTGGTAGCAACCGCCAGACTCGATCCCCTGCATCGGAAGACCTCTTGTCCGATTCTCGCTGCCACGCTCAACTGGCTCCCTAGATGTTTGCGGATTTCTGACGAGAATTCACTTCCGTAGAGATCCGTGTTGGTCAAGGCCAACATGAGGGAATCCCGGAGTCTGTTGAGACGTATCGGAAGAACCACTAAATTGAACGCGGCATCGCGAAGGACCAGGAGGTCATCGAGTGTCAGTTCAGAATATGGCTTGCGAGCTCTGGAAATGATAAGCATAGCGAGTAGTTCCGAGAGGGAGGGCTCCGCCGCGACTGAAGCGGGGTCTCCGATCTGAGAGATTCGAATCATTGACCCTGTGCGATTTAGCGCTCCGGTATAACTTACACGTTTGGCAATGCCATCAAGGCTTGGGTCGAGTCCGTGAAAATCATTTCCATTTCGTTCATAACCGGGCCGGTTGCCGAGTTTTTCTGCAGCAACTCGATCATGTAGCTAACTTCGTCGCGAAGTTCCTTCACTTCGTGGCCCGATCCTACCCTTTGCACGCAAGATGCCATCGAGCGGATTCTCTGCGTAAATGAATGGACATAGGGATTACTGGTGGAACGCGATGGACGTCCGTCAGCGAAGCCCGCTTAGGGGTACGACTTCGGTCAAGGTAGATCTTTCATAATTGTTCGGATGGTGGGTCCATTCCCTCTTTGGGAGTCTGATCGGTGGGAGCACAAGGCTCAGAGACACTCCTTGTTTTGGAGCTCTGCTCAGAGGCTCTTCTTGGAACCGCTCGTCAAAATTCAGCTTACCGCAGGTATCAGCGACACGAGTTGAGACACTGCAACAGAATAGCAATATTATCTCTAGCAATTACCACTTCTCCCTCGTTCTCTTCATTGTCCTGCATGATCCTCGTCGAGATTACGACAAAACCGCGAATCTTCCGCTTCTGACTCGCGTCGCGATGGCTCACCTTGAAAAGATTGACCAATCCCGTAGAAAATCCCGACCTGCTGCTCTTCTTGCGTTTGATTCGGACTCGACTCTTGAGCATGAGCCTGCCCGGCTGACTGGACTAGGAGGACGCAAAGCGCGACCGCGACATACGCACAAGCTTTGTGAGCCATCTCGTGGAAGTATTGTAGGAATGAACTTTTTCCGAGGACTGATTCTCCACGTCGAAGAGCGGACTCAGTATAGAGCAACTCAGGAGATGTGTGTTGTGATTACACCAGTGACCCGAGGAATGGATTGTGATTCCGAACCGGCTCCGAGCGTGCTTTTAGCTCCTCAAATCCCGAAACTCTCGCCTTTCGACCTCTGTCATTTGCGTCAACAAGTTTCCCGAATTATTGTTCTCCTGTCTTACGTGTTGCTCATGTGACAGCAGTATGTTCGTAGTAGAACATCGACTGTTCCGCCTGTGGTGAGTCAAGGATTTCAATCGGTCCAGAAATTTCGATGTCGCTGACAGAACGCCATCGAGCTTCATGGAATTCTCGTCAGAGTCAAGTTCATTGCAGAACGTCATTAACGTCATTCTCATGTTGCATCGAAGCGCCTGAAGCGGGACCGCTCTTCGGTTCCCGCCGACGGCATCTCATCAGGTCCACGCGCAACTCTATTGCTGGGAGTCGATAAACGATACTTTTTGGGTCCATAGCAGAGTGCCGCGAGGATTCGACACGATGATGAAATGCAGAGGGAGGCGGGGCGTGGGGCATATGCATGGATACGGATACGTTCCCCATAGGGACTAGTATTTAGGAAATCGGAATCCCCTTACGGATAAGTTTCCCGCGGGCTGGTTCACTTAGAGAAAACTTGTCCCCGTTATTCGAGCTTTTTCCGGTGCGATTCCTGGACCGAGCCTTTCTCGGACGTGCACGACAAAGGAGACCAGCTGACTCCCGATTGGGCTCGATTTGGGAAGATAATTCGTTCATCGATCCGGAGCTTGTTCCGGACGCGCAGGCAACGCGCTCCGATCAATTTGAATTTCCTGTGTCAGATGGCGGCTGTCGAGAAAGATATGCCGTGCTATAATCGTGGGATTCTGTGAGAAAATTGCTCGCCTTCTGCGCTTGAATAGCCGGCTCGGCCGCTCGACATTTCCAAGAGATGGAGGGCGCGTCGCCTGTGTGGTATATTCGCTTGGGACCCCCAAAGCCTTCAGTGAGTCGCTGAGAACTCAATTGGAATCCTGACTCGATAACGCGTCTCCTTCTGACATCGAAATAACTTCGGGGAATGGTTCGCTGACATCTGGACGGGGATCTGACCAATGGGCCGCGGCCAACGTATCCGGGATCGGCGATTTGAAATACTCTTCTCAGAGCTTTAGGTACAGTCGACCTCGGTTATGCCGTCGCGAACTGCGGTGGTATGCTTTGATTCCTCTCGCTGGGCTCGAGCGTGGCGCATAGCGCATCCAAAATAGTAGATCTCGGATTCCGAAATGACGCATGAAAAACATAGATTGCATATACATGATTCCCTAAATGAAGACGATCTTTTCAGGCTCATCGCAGCAAGAGTTTAACTCAGATAGACTGCTTCGATCGCACCGGCAGCGGTCGGAGACGGGGGGAAATGTTGGTCGGAGCAGCTGATGACGAGGGTCAACCGCCTGGTCTGCCTGACAGACTAGCTGTGCCTGAAGGAACTTCGGAAGGCGGTCGCAGAATGCTTTTCAAACAAACTCATAAGGTGAGTGCACTCCGGGTGAAGCGATCACCGCCGCAACAACAGCACCAGTAACCACAACATCAACAATGACAAGATAACAAAGGATGAGAACTTTTTCTTCTCCTGCCCAAAGGGCATCCCCCGTTATTCTCATCCTAGGCTTCTGTCAGTCGACATTCGGGGCGGAAATATCAGCATCCGCGAGAACCGGACCTCCGTAGTTCGATGCGGACTCTACCCGGAGTTATATTCGGAATTTTAATCAGCGGTCTCCCATGCGCTCCCTTCGGCGGGAGCTGTTTTTTGCTGCTCCACAATCCACGAAAAAACAACCCTCGAAAAGGAAATCTTTCCAGACGAGCTCCCGACAGGCGGGAGCTTGTGGAACCACATCAGTGACGCGCGTCATACGGAACGCTAAACTTCTAATCGACGGCTGAAGATTGAGTCCACTATAGCAAAGTTGTCGGACTTAGCTGGGCTGTCATCTTCTAGAGAACAAGTCGACTCGAGTCAGGCTTGAGAAGATTCGAGTAAATCTCTTCAGACAGAGTTTCTCCTCCGTGCTGTCTCTGCGGAAATCGACGCGATATCGGAGAGGTGACACCGTGGTGTAGACATTCGTCGTACAAATGAAAAAGATAACTCACGCCCAGCAGCTGACAGTCAGCCGGATCAGCTCCCTGTTGTTCCGCCATCCGCAAGCTAGCTCAAAATCAACAAAGCATCGGAACTGGTCGACGCTGCGAAGGACAGGAGGATGCTCCTGCGACCGTTTTCACCCCCAGGCCTGTTTGTGATGATCAGACTTAAAAGCCGGAGAAGGAGAGCTTCTTCGACGCTTAAATTGTAGAAAAGTCCTCTCTTCAAACCCGTGAAGATATCCATCCGACAAGGTTGGCTGGTTGCCTGTCCAAAGAGCCACCGGTGAGGCCTTCGAAGTCCGGTGCTGGGTTAGCGGTCGATCTGGGCACTTCAAGGGGTCGACGGTCTCCCGACCCATTTCGATGGCGACTTTGCAATGCTCCGTATTCCATTGTCCGGGTCGGCTCCAGCTCGACTCGACCTCGAGTCTCTTGGAAGCTCATTGTTCGTGTTTGGGGGATCAACTGAATGGATTCGCTAGAGTCGGGACGAGAAAGAGAAGCATTCCCCGGTCAGAGCTTCATCTCGCCGACTCGTGACCGATGCGACGCGTCCTCGAGTCCGTAGGATCGGAAATATTTTCGCACATCGAGGAGATGGAAAAATTCAAGCGTGCGGATGAGATGCCAAGGAGTGTCCCCAGACAACTTATTCAGATTGACTCGGCCAACGGGGGTCGCCATATCGCCAGTGAATGGGAGAGGGCAACGCTGCTGCACTTCATATGGTCGCGATGCCCGCGATCCAATCATCAGATCTATTCGAGGTAGAACGATGTCGGAACCTATCGGAATCGTCGCGACCGTCCCCCTATGAGAGCCCGCTCGCGTCAAGCCGCTCGGTACATGGGATCGAATCGTTCGCCCCCGAGACTGTGTTGCTCGCACCCTGAATCCGCTGACAGGGGCGGCAGTCTCTTGAATTCCGCGAAAAACGGCCGACGAAAAGTAGCCCTCGGTTTTGTCGATGGCGCTCCGATTGACTTCCTGTCTCAGATCCTTTGCGTGTCCACCGTTGGAGCAATACCGTCGCTACGCTCGTCACGAATTGCTCCCTCCTCCTGGAGTCGAAGGAGGGGTGAAGGGAGCCCTACACGTCTCTTGGACTTTTGGCACGAAGCCAGATGCCCCGCACCCGAAAGACGCATCGTCAATTCGCTACCGCTGTTCAACAGAAGTCGTCAAATAGCGATCGAGAGGCTCCTATAGGACTTCGTCCGCTCAAGTCAGAGTCATTCTTGTCCCGAAGAGGGAAAAATTATCAAGATCGCGCTATCCACGAGGTCGAAAATTCTTTCGACAGCGACAGATGTGCGTTTCGAACGGTTCAATAATCGAAATGGAATAGAGCGCTGAATTTCGGGAAGGTATCATCGATGGCTTCATGAAGGTTTCGCACGCGATCCGCTAGTTGTTTCCTGATTGGGAATAGGAACACTAGCGTGTTGACATTCTCTACATCAGAATAAGGTCGAAGCCGCTGCTGCTATTGCCGCGGCCAGGAACACGCAGGTCGAAAAAATGTGCATTTAGAAAACGAAGACAGATGCGGCTGCTCGTCTGTCTCAACCGATCTCTTCAGCAGCGGGGATCTTCACCGAATATTCGCCTCTGTGGCAGGGAAGCGGACGATACATAGCTCCGACGGGGACCCCTGTTGATCAACGATAGCCGGAATCATTAGGCTGTCCATCGGTAGCATTGTAGAGCGCTCGCGGAATGAGTATACACATAATATGTAGGTATCAGGACCCTCGCTGGAGTCGTGGTCGTGGCCGACTGCAACGGGCATATCTATCGCCACTGGAACGTGATTCGAATATCGGGGAAGTCGAATCAAGGAAGCTAAGCTAAGCTACAACGAGCTCTTATCCTTCTCCAGGTTCCAAGTCAAGAGTACCTCTCTGTGACCATCGAGCCGAGTGCCAACGAAAGCCGTAGCGAGGAGATGGATCTGATACCGGTAGCGAAAGGTGTTTCACTCAGGTTTGTAACCCCCTGTTTTCTCATCGAATCTCTAAGAGAGGGAAGCGATTTCTGAGCAGAGGGAGACTACGATCTTTTCGGAGCTTGAGAGCTGAGCTCCAGGGCTTCGGATTCTGGAAGCTCTTCGCTCCATCGACTGGACAATCGCGTATCAATACATTTTCTCCGACGACGGGATGGAGTATTCACAATAGTGGACCAGGATTCGCGTGCTGAAAATTGCTCGCGCGCACATTCGCTCTGGATCCGCGAGTCCGTACCATTTTTAATCTGGTGCCTGGGTTATCCCCTCTCCAGAGAGGTTCGCAGGATCGGACTCTTAACTGTTAACAGACTCACGAATAAGAATATCCCACCGACCAGGTAGACTCCTCCACGAGAATACTCAATGGATCACGATATCCATCAACTCCGAAAATTAGGATATAGCCTCGATCGTCATTCGTCTGAGTGTGAGCGAGGCTCAGGAGGCAGCGATCGAGCTCGAGTCCACAAACCCGCGGAGAGATGGAGACCCAATTCAAGCGTGGAGCTACGCTGGAGCCAACGGTAGCGAGGAATACAAATCGTCAGGTCACAAACTCTGTATTGGAGATCCTCAGAAGCGAAGCAGCCAAACGAGGAAAAACATGATGCCGGTAGATGTGCATCGCCGAGCGATGCATGCTATGAGAGATCATTCCATCACAATGTGCCCTTTAACCAGGAAGCATAAGCTCAAAATGACGGGAATCGAGTAGCGGGTGGTTGACGCGATTGAAAGCGACGGCAGAGAATGCGTCACTCACGCCGAGTGAGCCAGTCAGAGCTCGTTTGGGAAGAGCCCTCTCTGCTGGAAAGTCGGAGACGAAAACTTCACCCGTCTGCAGCTGCAACGACCTTGTTAGACGTTCGATCATGGATTGAGAGGCCTGTCCGCAGAATGCTAATACAGCGGATGACGCGTGACCTCGAGCTCCGTGATCTGACCTCTAAATCTAAGGCCCGGCTCGCGAGGGTCAGTCTCGCGTCCCATGGAATGCGGGCTTAATCGCTCGACGCGACGTCCAAAATGTGATGCTAGATGCGGAAGTGGGTTATTGACGTCGAGAAATATGCCAAGAGCGAGAGATCTCACGCCGGCGGTCCAGTGAACGACTCTGAATGCTCAGGGCGCTCGTGGGACGGATACGTACTTCATATACCGCCATCCATATACGTACAAATGTTATAGATACAGAAAGTCTAATTTCTGAACATTCATCGTCGGAGTGAATGGTTGAGATAGAGAGATGGACAGGTGCGTTCAAGCCAAAGCATCCTGGACTTCACATCTCCTAGATGAGACGTGTCTATGAGCAGGAGTTCCTAAGGTCCGGAATCTCTCCTCGAATCGGTGTGCTCGCTAGCTCGGCTCCGCTTCAGGGGCAGAGAAAATTCCAGACAGCGTAGTTTGATTAAATTCGCCTCTCCGTTCGGAGGCCTTTCCGAAATCTTGTTTTGCACACTTTGATGCCGAACTAGAGCCCGCGATGAGGAACCTTCGCCCCAAGGTGTTCTCGGATCTTCAGAGAGAAACGGAGCTTATAACAGCGTCTCACTCAGCCTGTCTTTGATTAGTTTTTTTCCTGTGTAGACCCACCGTCGTACCTGCATAGATTAGCTCCGTATTCCTCTCTCCACAGGAGGGACGGGCTCCCCTCGGCGAGAACAAGATGGGCGGTTCGCCGAACTATGCTTTATTGTTGTCGTGTCCATGACCATGGCGTTCGGCACAGAGAGACTGAGAATACCGATTTGCTCAACCGCAAACTCGGAGTCCGAGCAGGGAGCGTCTTCCTAGTGCTATTATCGATGGAATTATCTAATGGATCGCGTCGAGGGTGATGATTTGAATCCCAATTACGTCTCGCTCATGACATAATTACGTTAAGGGTCAGTTTGGTTTTGGGGCACGCCAGCGCCGCCCGCACGCTCTCGCCCAACAAGATGGATTATTATGGCGCAAGAGAATCTCATTCAAGTGACCCGACTAGAAGTTCTCCGAAGCTATGCGGAAGCCGATCAGTGATGGCCGAGTGAACAGCGGTCGATTTCATTCGTCGAGGCTGCTCACTCCAGGAATGAACATACCGACGGACTTCGGACGCTTCGGGAACCGACAGAGAACTTCTGCCGGACCCGGGGCGGCGCCGGCTGTGAATCCCTGGCGTTGACGCACCTTCGTAAGAGCACGGAGCCCTGGAGCTCAGCTAACGCGATCGGCACTTGGGGAACTTGGCAGAGATGCGTTAATGAAGCACGACAACATGCGAGGGAGATTCTCGGCTCGAAAGAGGAGTCATTATTCGCCAGGTGTCGAAATCAGTGGCTGTCAACGCCCACTGGCAGAGGCTTGACGAGAGGAATGCATCTTGGCAGGCCATTCTTCACAGGTGCATCGCGCATCGTTCCTTGGCCTCCTGAATCCGACTAAGCTCAGCCCCATAGGCCCTCGCCCGAAGCGAGGGCAGCGCATCCATGATTCTCGGAGACTCGAATCGGTCATCTAGAACTCTGACTTCGACAACACCATCTGAAGCTTGGCAAGCCTCTCGGAAAGTTTTTGCGTCTGGCGAGTTGTGCACGTTCCTGGGCGGCTCGGAGTCTCGGAGCTGGCTCACGATTTTCACCGAGAACCAGGCTGTCGACGTCAGAGTCTCTGTAAGTGATTGTGAAGGGAAGCGCGGCGCGAGGCGTGGCTGAGGGACCTTCGAGGCTGCCTCGTATCTCGAGAGCGCCTTATAGGCTCCTCGACCTGAAGGAGCTTCCCATCTCCGCAATGTCTCTCTCCATTTGACCATCCCCGCTAACTTTATACATAAGTGCGAAACCTGTGGCTGGTAAATTGCCTTGATTCAGAGTCCCGTGGTAGTTCTAACACGTGTTCTCGCGCTGCCTTCAAATTGCTCGGAAGAGCCCTTGAAGGAGGAGGTCTATATGTTGCAGTCTTCTTGCCGGGACGGTCGAACATAGAACACCGCAAGCCATCTGATCGGTGCTGACTGTAAAGGGAATTCCTGTATTCTCAGAGATGATGCAAGTCGTGTCAACGGTCTTTGTTCCGCCAGATTAGCTCTACCGAGGGCTCAATTCAAGGTGGTGAGCGGCGAGGGAGCTGAACGGGTCGCCCCTTGCAGGACATCGTCTCCTCCGCCAGTCTTTCGGTACCCGCAGATTCTCTCGCTCTCGCAAAAGATGATGATGAAACGCTCCAATGGCCATAGAGGGAAGTCAATATATCACAATGTCATTTCGTCGATATCATTCTCCGTCAGTTGGAGCGGAAAATTCAGTTGGATGAAGATGTTTCGCAGAGCCCACAAAGACACTGGTCCTACGACGAAGCGTCCCCCTGAGACGAGATGTTTATTCTCCTGAGCTCAATTCAAACATTCTTGAGGAACTCCGCTGGAATATGGCAAAGTTTCCCCGGCTTCTATGTACAGCGCCCGAGACTCTGTTTTATTGTGTTTTCTCTGCTTGTTCAGCATACGGGCTCGAGACGCTCTGCTGAGACTTCTCTACGGCGAGTGTGCTGATTTGAGGAATAGACTTCCGGCGCAGATCTCAATTCGGCCGCCAATCTGCTCTCGATCGTACGTGGGTTCATAACCTGAGGCCTAGAGTGGGGGAAGCGGCACTCGCCGTGATATTCCACCGGCGCGACGACTATATTGAAGGGAGGGCGAGTCGAATGAAGTCCAGAGAGACTCCGTTCCGGTTCCCGCATGCTCCCGCGCAGGATTGTGATCGTGTTTATCTTTCGTTTGCTCTGCGCTTTTCTTTCTGGCACTCTTACTTCCACCTTTTCCCGACGCGGGGATTCCCGAATTCTTCATCGCTCATAAAGCGTTCAGCATGACCTCCTCTCGGTCTTCTTCGACCACTCGAGACTTGCGTATGCCATCTCGGGGACGTGCCCTCCGTCACGACAGACCTTGGGAGCGCTCGCGACCGATTAAGTTTGTAGACTGTGGACGATGGAATCGGGTTGATTTTTCTGAGCCTCACGGAGTGATCGCTAAGCTTCCACTTTGGCATTGAATTTCACTTAAATCCAAGGGAGCGCCGTCGAATACGATCGACCGCGAATGCCCTAGGAGAACGGCACGTCCGTCCACGCTCCGAGCCTCAAATCATGCCCCTTAATTTCATGCTGCCCGTCTGTTCCTTCTACTGAAGGGGGAATCGATCGAGCTTGCTCGTACAGGCATTCACGGCAGACCTCATATTTCATAATACATACACACATATGTATATATATGTTAGGTACGTAGATACTGGAATGCCCGGATCAACAATTCTCAACCAGGGCTCGACGAGGCTCCTCCCGCGATTCTGCGGCGCTCTACCTGAGGTGTTGTCTTCGATCATGTTTATCGTAGCCTCTCATCGATGGCCTCGAGATTGAAACAAAGCACGGAACATGCGCGCGGGTCGATTCGCTAATCGTGCCTCGATGCGAAACGCCTCCGGTGAGGATTGACTTCCATCCGGATGAATAAGTGGAATCTACGACTCTTAGCGTTGAGATCGATCGGTCGGTCTCCCCACGGCCCTGAATGACCGAACTCGACACCGTCGATCATGATACGGCCTGCCAGCTAGGATTTGGACTCGGAGAGTATGTCCCGAAGCCCCTGATCGTAGTCGACCGTCGGAGTGCGACGGATCATTGGGTTATCATCCCTGGTGATCGGGCTTCAGATTTTCCTCAGGGCTTCTCGCTATCCTCTCGTTATCATTCGGGTAGCCAGCTAAACAAAGAACTGTCATACGGGAACGCTTGTGAAATCGATATCGTTCGAGGAGAAACACGTTCTAAAAGGATTTTGCTGTGGAAAATTTTCTCGATGAGGAAACTTTCTTGATCGGTGTACGGCGAGAGGGACCGTTTCACGGTTATCGGAGCCGGTACCGCAGTGGCTGCCTCGCCCTGTTATAGGATCTCGACCTAGATCCTCTACAGCTGGTATCAGATTTTTCCTCTTTCTCCGACCGGCGACGGTGCTACCCCAGATCTCGAACTTCTGGGAGGGGAATGTCAACATCGGGAGCGTAATTAGACGTAATAAGTATCTTGACTCCGACCCTCGCATTGGACGTCTCTATCTGAGAGAAGACCCTTTAGTGGGTGAGTCGAGAACGGAATCGCTTTCGAAACCCTCCCGCTGAGGGCCTTAGATCCCGAGGAGATATCGTTTCGCGGAAATCGCTCATCCTGAGGCTGACAAACGAAAATACACCTCTGGAATCGTCCGCTCGTGTCTCATCGGACAGCGGCGTGCTGTTTCTCGAGATTCGCCTCCGCGCTTGTCTAGGGCGGGGAATTTCGTCCGGGACGCCGTTATGCTGTGACGAATATTATACAGGAGTGGTCTCCGCCGCGGCAGTGGCTGTTGCATAGGAGCTATGCCTACGAAAACATCGTTTGTCGCTCGCCTTCTCTCACGCGTACTCGTTCGCTCGCTCGGTCGACTCGCTTGGCTCCGCTGCGACGAATGCAGCCCAAAGCAATGTCTCGTATGCTGACGCCAAGAAGCCCTATTACCATCATACTGTCCCGTGAAGTTGCTCCGATGTACCTACACAAACTCCTCACGCATCTTTCGCCCGATGAATTCAACCAGACGGCACTTTCACTCGGCATGAATACCACAGGGGGGGTGCCGGTTCCGGTTTCTGCTCATCGGAGTTGGGAGCAATGAATTGGAGTTCTATCGCTGCGGCTTCTTCTTCTTGAAAAATCCAGCTCCCCGATCCGTTGATGCCTCTCATCGGGCTTCCGTCAACACTGGTTGAGAGAACTCCTCTCGAGTTTGGGAGTCGAGTGCTTTTCGGAAAGCGCTCACCAAAGCAGTAAGTCTAGTCGGAAGGGTCGAATCGTGGCATCGATGCATTCATGCGCGTGGAGCGAAATACTCGAGCGAGTAAATATTCAGATAGGAAAGGGAATGGAACAAATGAATGAGGTCGGAAATATTGTCAAAGTTTCCGAACAGCTCCCTCGGGAGTGTTGCGGATCAATGCACCTTGATCAGGCGCTTTTTGCACGCGAACGCCTGCCGTGGAGAATTCATCTTTTTGAAAGCTTGCTCTCGAGACTTGAGAGACGCGCATGGGAGAGCCGCTTTCGGTCCTTGTGAGGGCGGGACGTATTTGATTCCAGCGAGGCACAGTGTCCAAACAGAGCTGCCAAAGATTGCAGTTCGCACCCGCGAACAAAAGCACACAATACCGCGACGCAACAAACAAGTACGCAAAACGGACCGAGGAGCGAGCGAGAGTGTAAGCAAGCAAGCGAGCGAGCGAGCAAGCAAGCAAGCAGGCTCGCAAACAAGCAAGAAAGCAAGCGAGCAAATAAATGAGCGTTGTGAGGAGTCGACGAGATTTTTTCCGATAAAATGCAGACGGGAGACTCCGGTCAGTCCCCGAAATGAGGAGTTGGGAGTGTTTCACGCTTCTCGGATCAGTTTCCCGGGTCCTGTTCCATCCTTCACCTTCAAAGAACGAATCGAATGCGGGAAGAGCATTCCTCGAAAATCGTTTGCTGAATAGCCGCCTTTCTTCTTCCTTCCCATCGCAAGCCATAATAGAACGAATCGGTCCCTTTCACAGACACGCGGGCACACATGCAGGAAGGCAGAGACTGCCCGAGAGACTAACTCTCACTCACGGTCGCTCTCTTTCTCTAAGTTGAACCACCCCTCGCTCAAAGCCCCTTTGCCCTCTGCCGCGGTCCTCGGCGGTCTCTTCTCTCCCGCCCCCTCTCAAGAAGTGGCAGTCGAACAGCTAAAGAGTTAGCAAGCCAGCCTGCCACCCGGGCACAACGACCGACCGACCACCCCAGCCGGCCTGGCAACGTCCTGCGTGCGAGTTGGTTGGCCCGACCGAGGCAGCGATCACCCCTCAGAGCGGGCACCAGACGAGCGAGCAACCCCTACAGAGCCCAGACAAATGGTAGCTCGCTTCGCTGCTTCCCTCCCACACAAAGGGAGAGATCATCTGCCCACCACCACTTTTCCACCGAGCGAGCTCCTCCGCCGAGAAGGGCAGCTCCTCAATAAGGGGATGAGGAACATCGAAAAGGAGGTTGTGTACAGGGGCAAGCTGAGAGAGCGCCATGAGACTAAGGGCGTAGAGATGGAGAGGAAAAGCGTAGAGGCCAGTCCGCCACGTCTTTCTTCAGCTCGCTGAGGCGCTCGTTCGGAGAGGCTGGCGATGGCGTGTCGTTTTCTTTTACTCTTTCCGACACATTCCGTTCGCAAACACGGCATCGGATAACCTCTATCCGAGCGCTCTTGCTGGGCTCGCGAATTCTCGGCTAATGGACGCACATGAGTAGCTGGTCGGGCAAAACTACGAGATATGGCGGAAAATGTCGCAGTCGCCGCTCTGGACTCGGTTCCATCAATCGCCACCATGAAGTTTCGATGTCTGATCCCGCATCCCGAGATATCGCGAGGGTTCATCCTCTTCTCACCGAGTGGATAAGTGAATGAGATTTCAGGTCTGAATTTCCTGTGGGTATTTTTCGAGGAATGAACTCGCTCCGGCGCCTTAGAAATATCGAGGATCTTGTCGATGGAAGATCTTCGGAGATACGGTTACCCCTTGTTTTGCGTACAACATCAATCCGCTTTATTTCGCTTCTTGAAGAGAGCCTACCCAAAAACAGAAGACGACAGGAGGCATACGAGGCCTACGGGTCGAAACAAGCTCGCTGATCAAGTCTCTTGAACTGACGAATGGTCTATGCTGATGTGACGGACGGGATATCTCCCGAAAATGATTCTCAGATCCGAGGGGTGTAGGTGGATTGGGGTTAGAAGCGTATCGGTTACGCGGCCTACTGGGAAGGCTTTCCCTTTTTATCTGGATCTCTTGTGTAGCGGAGCTCGATTCGACGGGTCCCGGAAAAGTTGAGGGATTAGGTAGTTCCGGTGAGTTTCGCGATCGAAGGGCCGACTCGCGGCGTCAACCACAACGAGCGATTCGGCTGGGTCGATTGTGAAAGACGAGTCCATCATATTTACAAGAATTCCAAGAGGGTTACCCACGCGAGAAAAATTCTTCATTTCTCATGAGTCCAATTCCGATTTTCAGAGATGCCTTGTACACACTGTTAGATCGACGCGGACTCAGCGTGTCCATGGTGAATGTTTATCAAGATGGACCCTCGAAGAAGGCGGCGAACCTATCAACGGACACCCAAAAATTCGCAGGATGCCACTTCCGTATAAAAGGTATCTGACTCTCTCTTTTAGGAGCGATCCGACTATCGCGCTTGAAGTGTCTCTGACGCTAAAATTCGGTATTGCTATCTGGTACACAATCCGAATTTCATTCCACCACTCGTGGCGCTCCCGAGGAATCTGGAAGCCTTCCCGACATCGATGAAAGACCTTCGATTCCCGGTCAAAACGCCGGAAGCAGGTGACTCCTCGGAGCGAGTATTCACGTGCGGAGAACTTCTCTCACCAATAGTCATCATTGAACAGCGACTCGAGTGATTATTAGTAGGGACGGACCGACATGAGTCGAAGGACGACACCAGTCGCGGGGGAACTTTCCGAGTAGCCGAAAGATGTATTCCTGAGGCGTCGACACCGGAGATGCAGTGTGCATGTTTGTCCTCCGGCTCGGGGTACATCTTATCCAAAAGCCATCTGATTCGTCTTACATCTCGCCAGTTTTTAATTCCTCTTATCGGCAGAAGAACTCATCTATCAGGCTCTGGACGACCTGCTTCTCTCCATCCCCCGAATCGATGCGCTGGGTAACGAGAGCTCTGTCCACAATGTCTATGATTTTCGAGGAGCGATAGGGACCTATTCCTCGAGAGTCCGTCAGAGCCTGCTCAGTCAGGGGAAACGTCGAAGTCCTTGACCGTGGATCCCCAGCTCTCCGAGTCAGTACGCTCCCAAATTGTACCTACCCTTAGGTACATAGGTCAGGATAGTACGGCGTAAGTATGTACGAGGTTGACGGAAGTCGAGGCGACTCACCTACGAGTTTCGACTGTAGTCCGCGAGCTCTCGGTCTGAGAGGCCCCTGCGGGCTCGCAGATACGACCTGATTGGTCCATCATACGCTCAACCGATGTGACTACGCTAGGAAAATGTGCGTTGCCTATCCAATCATCGAAGGAAGAGCCCCGTTATTGCGGACTCATCCGAAGGCTCTCATATATTGAGCACAGAGTTTAATCGAGAATGGGACTTCTCGTTGCCCTGCGTAGATTCTATCGCAGCCACCGATGCTCGTGTGCCCACAATGACAACCTTGCGCCGCTGCCTTGAATCGTATAGGCTAAGCTGTGTTCTGCTGAAGACCCGATGCCGACTCGTTTGTTCGCCCTCGTCGCCTGGATTGCTCTATCGCGGAAGCGTCGGCGGCTCTATCTGTGGTACGAAGAGCGATTCCTGGAAAAATAGCGCATTCTTGATCGTAAATACAGTCTTTCGTCTGCTGGAGTATCGTATCGTGAGCGCCGACTCGGGGAGAAAAGCGGGACTGTGCGCGAGGGGCTGTGCGACCACAGCGACAGCGGGCAAACGCGGATAGATCAGCAGCGTTTGCAAGATTTTTTTGGGGGTGAGCCAGACTAGGTTTCCGGGGGGCCAGGGGTCCAAAATGACGAGGCACCCTGTAGTAATGCATTACGGAAAAAAAATCCGGGGGGGAGTCATGCCCCCTCCCCACCCTCCCCTGGATAGGCCTCTGGGGAAGATAGCTCCCCAATGCCATCAACAATGCTCCTGGTCCATGATTTCCAGAATGAGGAACGCTTCACTCGCCTCGACTAAAATCGTTAAGCTATCCTTCGTACTGGAACGCTTCTTGACCAACTATGAAACACAACCACCAATCGATTGAATGATGAACTGATTCAATGACAGGCATGTGTTCGGCGGTACCCCTGTTCCACTCAATCAGCTCGGACGAGCGGACCAAGAGGTTTCCTAGAAGGGAGAAATCACCTATCCAAACAGATGAAGAAAAGTGAGAATGAGCCGCCGAGTATCAGAGGAGTCTCGTGCCCATTGCAACTGAGATGTTCTGAACATTTAGATGATTTCGTTTCGGCGAGAATTTCATCAGGCAGTTAAAGCCAGCCAGTTTGTGTCGAGTGCTAGCCCCAATGCGACGGGAGCGCCGCGTCGGCCCGGCGGCGCTGCGCGGAGTTTTGCACTGGATACTGGAATCTAATCCGCTTTCCTGTCTCTCCAGTTCGAGAAAGTGCAGCGGCCTCTCCGCGTTTTAGCGCCGCTCGAGTTGTTAGCATCTTCCGGTTGGAAACGCTCATTCAAAGGTGCTCTGCTCGCGACATTCGAAGCTCAGTGATATCCCGAAGCGTACAGGTCGCTCCTGCGTACAGGCAACGAGATCTGGAGAGATGTAATCATGGGACCCCGGACTCCGAGAACCCTGGAGGGAACTTCACAAGTAGAAAGAAGAACACCCTTGAAGAGAAAGTTCGTTTTGCGCGGGAAGCCCAATAGATTATGGTTCCGCGAATTACTACCGAAAGGTACGATCGATATTCCATTTCTTCTCATAAGCGTCCCTAGACTGTGTGCGCTCCGCCCTTGATCTGCTCTCGAAATTCGACGACATTGCTGAATTCGAAAGTTCGCCGAGGCCGCGCTCGACTGATTTCTGAGTCCTGGAGCGTTCCTCATGGGTTTCCCTCGATTCTTCTATGCAGGGATCGCTCCATTGGCTCGCTGAGACCCCTACGCACCGGCGATGTCCAAAGATGCGGAAAAATTTAATGCGCTTGATGCTAGATTGAGAGTCGCTCAGAGATTTCTCGCACCCGGATGAATGTTGCCCAGGCATGTTTGCCATTCACCAAATCCATCTCATGTCCAGCAAAGTTTTTCGGTTAGCCGGAGAGAACCTGTGCAGCATAAACGTCTGTGACGTGTAGTGCTCGGTCCGAAGTAGCCACTGACGTCCATCGAGGTCAGCAAATCCAGCTTCGACCGGACGAAGCTCGTGTAGTGCAGCAGTCTTCTAACGTTTAGCTGTGAGAGAATGATACCCTCAACAGTAAGCCGCGTCCCCGAGGAAAGGCTGTCTCTTCGATGGAGATACCTACTCTTGGCGGCCTGACCAGTGACTCTGACACTTGTGACATGGGAGCCAGGCATCAATGTCTATTGCCTGTTCAGACTCAGAGCCGGGATTCATATCCTGCCGAACTGAGTTTCCCGCATCGGGCTCCCATCGTTCCCTCGAGTTCGAGATGGGGTTCCTAATACCGGAAAGACAATCATTATCATCGATCTGTTTGGCGATCGACTGCAGGCATCGCAATCGGAGCATATTGCCGGAATGGACGTGCGCTATACTCTGACAAAGTCAGTATACGACTCACCATCAGATATTCGTTCCTCCGAGAGCCGGGGCGGGCCGAGGATTTTTCCCGGGGCGGGCCGAGGATTTTTTCCCGGGGCGCGGACACGCCGTAGTCCACCTAGAACAATAATGAAGACCCAACCGGGGTCCGCACAATCCAAAAGTCGCCTCCCCCTCGACGAGATCCCTCTTTCGAGTTGAGCTCCATGTCCAGGTTTGGTTCACAGCTGAAAAGGTCAACCGTGTCCTGGAAACGCTTTCCCTGGGCAGTCCATGCGGCAGTCTCGCAGGCAATGCGAATATATGGAGAATTGAACCGATGTCGGACGATTCGTCGTGGAGCCCCGGCCAAGTGGCAGAAAGAAACAAATGCAGAAAAGGGAAGGAGGCAACAGCCAGGGAGGGATGTCGGTTGCTCGGTCTGCGGTCCGCTGCGAGAAGAATGGAGTGGTGTCGCGCGCAAGCGTTTTTCGGTCGTCCGTGTTATTCGTTCACTAGGAACGGTTCACTGAAATTACGCGGAGACGAAGCCGTCGTCAACGGCGGTGCAAACTTCTCCGCGCCGAGTTTTGATCCCAAAGTGGCTACGTGATGGTGGCAAAATGAAGCTCCGACACTCTAGAGTGAGCGCCAGCCCTGCTGGGACGAGCGAGGTCAGGGCGGCGAACATGTTGACTTTTAGTTGAGGTGCGTCCCGGCGAACTCAATCCGGTTATCCTCGTGGATCGTATCGACGTTAGCCGCCCAGCCGATCGGTAGCATGGCAGGTTTGACGATTGACGCGGGATCCATCAACTATCGACTCCATGTCTTCATGGAGGACACCACTCGGAGGCGCTCATACGCCATTCCTTTCCTTTATTCGACTGCAGGTACAGTTCTCATTAAGACCTTTTTCTGGAGGCCAGGAACGTCTGTATTGTCTACACTCCAAAACATGTATTGATCGATATTGATCGATGATGATAATCTTTGTGGGCTTGTAGTTCGCGGCTCGGATTACGCGAAAGCCCTCCTTCGGCACTTATCGCGAATCAGAGAGGAGGATCGGCGTAAGAAAATGCATCGCATGAGGCCGTCAGCAATGCGTGCTGACTGGCGTTGGTGTACACCTCGCAAAACTGTCTGGTCTTCCGATCAATTAGAATCTAGGGGACCTATCCTACGGCCTAATTATGCGAAGGCCGCTCGGGAGAACGTCTTCTCGGAGAAATCCGGTACGACAGAAATACTTATCACGAAGGCTGCGAGCCAAGCCGGATCTTTCGGCTCTTCTTTTGTTGTCTTGTCCTCCCGCGACAGAACGTTCCGTATACCGCTACTCCCTCCGGAAGACTGATTCACGGGCGGACTGACTGTTCGATTCAGATTCGTGTCATCGCGGGCTCTTCTTATCAACTATTAGGGGGTCATGGAAGAGTGGACGCAAAGAGAGAATTCCCGAATTCTTATAGCGAATTCATGATGCCTCATGAATCGGGGGCGACAACGGTTTTGCACGCAAAGGAACGCGCACCGCTGCCGTAACTCGTCGAGAGGCGGGGTACACAAAGGAAAATTATTCGGCCTTCTGCTGGGCCATGTAGAAAAATCAGCGGTTATCCGTAGCTCGGGCAGACCGGGAGCATGACTATGTTCCTACGGTACATATCTGCCGGCACTGGATGGAGCTGTCGGTGACCCGTGACGTTTGGCCGCCTGCTTGGTCGGTTGCTCGAAGGCTCGAATATTGATTGGTTGCTTGCTCGTGCTGCAACAACGAGCAGGAATCAAGTACCTACGCTCGGGAGGCGCTTTTAATTCTTTCTGTCTGCCCGATCGCATGGTCCACACGCACTCGGGACCGGCGATCTCTGAGGTTCGGACGGAAGATGTAGGG